CTCGGATGAATGATCAATATAGAGAACGGGTTTGGGTACTGGGGGGGGGGTTCACACCCTTGAAATCAGTGGTGTTAGTACGCGTCCAGCTGTAGGTCGCTGGGATGGACTCGATAACGGATAGTTTGGTCTCGAGGTTCTGGGTCAGACCGACAAAGGAGTACCCTTTAGGGACGTTGTTCCTACAGTATATTCTTGGTCAGTCCCTGATATCGACGCAGAGTCAGTAACCTTACGTGCTCTCGACATAGTCGATGTTGGTTACACTGCTCCAGAGTACCTCCTCTGTACCGTTGTCGCTTGTGGTGACCCCATCATAATTTGTACATTGCGTGCCGACCATCCGAGCAGCATTGTACAGCATGTTGTAGACAATCCATGGCGTATTTGGAAGAATAAGGTTGGCGTAGTCTCCGCAAAGATCAGTGGGAGATTGAGCCCGAGAAGAAAGATCATTCAGTGCCGGAAGGGCGGAAACAGCATGGGTCAAGGACAGAGCCGCCAGGGCAAGAGACTGTCTGAAAAAAACCATGGTGAGATAATGCAATCTCCGAGACCAGCGGAGTGAGTTAATTGAAAGGACAGTATGAAGATGAGGTAGAGTACCAAACAGATCCTAGGTCTAGTTCTTCAGGGGAACTTTTTATCTTATAAATCGTAGCTCTTGTCCTTGACGATGTGGGGTTGATCTAGTTCTAACACCTAAGTGGGCCCTGTAAGCAAAGGCAATAGTAATGTGAAACTACGGATCGAAAACCCCTGTAACACACTTTAATTAAGAAGAACCTGCGAGGTGTATTATTATGGAAGGATTTTCTAGCCATCGAAAAGTCATTTAGTTACGGAAAGTAGAAGGATTGATTAATTAAACCCGAGAGACTACGGAGTGAATATTCACCACTCTTCTAGTAGGATCCAGAAGACCTCCTTACGGAGATTAGAGGAGCTGAACTCAGAAATTGAATGCTATCGGTAATGCGCGAAGGGTGCAACAGGCTGGGCGACCGAGTACCCATACGTTTGGATAGGGGTTTCTGGGCGTTCAACTTCTCCCTAGCTCCCTAGTCTGACTGACTCTACTCATGGTCAAACATTTGTTAGCAGTGTGGATTTCAAATAGATCTGACCTTTGCTTGTTGAGATTTTCTTTTTGTTGAGGTGCGACTGACAAGTTTGGAGGACTTAGGCTCATAGGATGTATGTCTCCACCTGCCTTTTAGGATGACGATCTTGTTGATTGTGATAAATCTGGGGTTTATGAGATCGGATTGCTAATTACTCTCTTTGGACTAGTCATGTTTATGGTGTCGATGTCAACGATGGGTACACAAAGAAACACCGGGGAGTTGGAAGACACTGTTCAAAATATATATCTGCATGTTGAACAGTATCCTGAAATCGTTATTTCACATACCACCACAGAATTGTATGAATGTGAAGAACACACTGACTTGAACTATACTATTAGAACAAACAAGAACTACTAGACAGAAAGAAAGGTTGAAAAGAAAGCACCATTATCATAATTTTGGAGATCGGGTTTGAAGAAACCCAGTTATCCAATGTGTAACTAACTCCATTTGTCTTGTAATTTCTCAAAACACATTCAACAAAGTAATTTAATAAAATATTACACCATGAAAGAGAAATAATGCTGCAACCGTTCCCCAATGACACCCACTTGTTCGGCATCCCAAGTATCAATAGCTCCAACATATCCATCGGGCCTCACTACAGCGATTCCGATCTTCTCCTGTTTCAAATCACCAAACCACTTCTCCGTACAACTTGGCCCTCCAATATTGTCCACATACAAGGTCCACCGACTAGTCTGCAGTATCTCCGGTAGATCGACAATCTCAAACTCGGACTGAGCAGACTGAGTGACCATCGCAAAAGTAAAAGCATTGGAGACAGCCGTGTAGCGCTGAACCTGAAGGAATTCATCTGATGGGGAATGCCCCCTTGGATGCTTGGTATATGACTGATTTGCTGTCACGCTGACACCGGCAAGAACAGACTGCAATTGTTGACAGATATTTTCAAGTGATGCTTGCGAGCGAGAAACATTCGGCACGAAAATATAGATTTTGAACTGGCCCAAAAGAGGAATATCCAACTGAATGTCGACCGGGTTAGCGTCAATATAGCGGGTGACTTTAGCTGGGAGTTGGAGCATTCCGGGTTGGAGGCGGGATGGGGTGGTCGGAGCTTGTGTCAACATTCCTGGACCATATTCGGCCCCGAGGCCGGATATAAATCGAATGTTGTCATCGAAGTTCTTGGCTAGTTCTGCGTCGCCTGCCGCGAAGGCTTTGCAGTGCTCTACGTCGAAGTTGATGAGGTCGTATGCGATCTTTTGTCTTTCTTCTTCGTAGGTCTGTAGTAAGGATGGTTTGGCCAGTCCTCGGACTAGGAGGTTGAGCTTCCATGCGAGGTTGAAGCTGTCGTGCATACTGGTGTTGGCACCTTGGGCTGCAAGAGCGGAGTGACAGTGACCGGCCTGTGTATTGATTAGATTATGGGCGACATGAGTTTGAAATCGAGTTCGACATACATCACCGGCAATAAATATCTGAGCTTCTGAATCCATGAAGCGTTTCGCAACCCGTTGACCCACAACATATGTTCCGAACCACTCCACTGTCTTCCATTCTAGGGTGAATGGATGCATTGCCTCTCTGGCACGGCTCATGACATACTCAGTGGTGGCTTTTGATTTTTCTACTCGCTCCCCGTCGGTGGAACTTAACTCAACGTATAATCGAGTCATGCCTTTTTCACGTGGAATCCACAAGATCGAACCTGCGGAATGAGACCGTAACGCGACTTTGCTCCATAGATCAGGGAAGTCGGTATCAATCACGCCTACATTATTAGCCAGATTCTCGTCAACAGATAGGATAAACGCACCATCTAGCACTCCCCATGCCGCGTTTGTTAATTCTCCCTCAAGCTCAGCATTTGGAATAAACGATCTGACTTTAGACCGAGCTCCATCGCATCCAACCAGATAATCCGCCCTGATCTTGCAAGGTGTATTTGTAGTAACATCCTCATACAAGATATCCAGTTGTCTCGTCCCATCCACACGCGCACAAGATACAAACTTGCTATTACGAGTGACGAACACCCCCCGTGCCTCCATATCATCTATCATGACCTCTTCAACCATTCCTTGGTGGGCTAACAGAATGTATGGATCGGAAGCACCAACGTGCTCGGGGTAGTGGATTTTGCGACCAGTGCGTTTGAGGGACTCGGTGGCGGTTGATTCCTGGTATTTTGTTAGGCAGATCCAACACCAGCAATTGATTCGCAACGTACCCAGAAAGAAATATCGTAAACTCGAGCTCCATTCTTCAGCAATGGATCCGCCAATCCGAGTTGTCTGAATGTCTCGATGGTCTTGGGTTGCATTCCATCGGCCTTGCCTGTGGATGTCTTGTCCGGACGATCGTCGAGAATCACCACGGCAATCCCAAAGCGAACAAGATTACATCTTCGAAGCTGTTAGCACCCGCTCCAATTGATGGAGGAATTTGACATACGCTAGCATCAACCCCGAGGGTCCTGCGCCCACCACCACAACGGTAGTGGTGGCATCGACAGGGCCAATTCTGTACCCTTCGTGGTCTGCACTTGGAGACATTATTGAGATTCAATTTGTATTTGTTGATTGACTTGATAAATTTCTTAATCCTTTTCTATCTTCTCTATTTATTCAAATTGTTCAAATCCATGCGGGGGAAAACCCCCACTCTTCACAGGTGTTTATCACCATCGTGTCACCCCACCGTCCACAACAATGTCCGACCCAGTCATGTACGAACTCGCGTCACTTGCGAGGAATACACACGCCCCCATGATATCTTCTGGTTCGGCAATTCGGCCGTTCATGGCCTCGGACTTCCAGCCGTCGAGGAGATGGGGGAACTGGCCATTAGCGCGTATCGGAGTACTCTGCTTGGGTGGGGACTTACTGAAGCTGTCATTTCTGTCTTCACGTATCCCGGAGAGATGGAATTGACTCGAATACCCTGTCGCGTGAGTTAGTGATATTCCTTGAAATTTGCGTTGCGATCCATCTCACATATTCAGCCACCTCTTTTGCGATCGCAGGACACATCGATCTCACTGCGCCTTTTGTGCCACAATAGGCGGAACATAGCTGGCTGCGCACAGCGATATGGCTTGCCATACTGGCCACTAAAATAATGCTCCCGTGTTTTGTCTTGTTCGCAATCATCTGCTTGGCTGCGAGCTGCGCAGTGAAGTAAAGTCCGAGGACGTTGATAGATAGTAGATCCTGATGATCCTTGTAGGTAAATTCGAGGAATGGAAGGTGGCGGTTAATACCGGCGCATGGGACGCATATGTCAAGAGCATTGTCAAAATCTTTCTGGAAACTGGCGAAGCCTTCTTCTAACGATTCCTGGGATGAGACGTCGACCCTGCTGTTGTTAGTGATTGAACCCTGAATGAATAATATTGAATCCACCCACTTGTAATACGCAGTTCGGACACCGCAATCCTTCTCAATTGCATGGAATCCTTCCTCAGGTGGAACAACATCAAAGACAGCTACATCGGCGCCAGCCTCGGCGAGTCCCCGCGCAAAGGCCAACCCGCAACCCCGAGCACCACCCGTCACCAGTGCCGTTCGCCCTTTCAAAGAAAACTGGCTCGGTTAGCTCGGATTCTCAAAAGAAAAGTGGGAGCACTCACTCTCGACATATCGTAGTGTAGCTGAATACCGTTTTGCTGTGTAGTGAAGCCCTTTCCACTCAGACATTCGTGCCTTTTAAGCTATCGGATAGTGGCATACCCGAACTAAGCTAACCCCCATCTTTGTCCATAGTTGGAGTCAAGTGAAGTAAAGATGGAGGGACCATCTCCGATGTGCCTATCTATCATAAGTAGTCCTGTACCACAGGATATCGGACGGTATTCAACAATCGAAACATCCCTCATCTGGGTTCTGTTACACACTGATCACAATGGCCCCTCCAATCTCCATCAAAGAGCAAGAAGTCCGCTCTCCATCATGTCAACTAAAGATCGTCATCGTCGGCGCGGGCCTTGCGGGTCTTGGGTCTGCGATCAGTTGTGCGCTCGCTGGACATGAAGTCCAGGTCCTCGAAGCGACACGAGAAATCAGAGAAGTCGGCGCTGGTATCCAGATTCTACCCAACAGCTCGCGTGTACTCCAACATTGGGGTCTTGAAAAGGCTCTTACGCCACACATGACGATTCCTCGGGTCTGCAATTTCCTGGGATGGAAGGGCAATCACATTTCGTCCTTGGACTTCCACGCATCGGAGAGTAACTACCCGGGAACTTGGTATCGCGACTTCCACCGTGCGGATTTACAACAATGTCTGGTCAAAAGAGCGCTCGAGTTGGGGGTCAATATTACCTGCAATGCTCGTGTAACGGATGTGACCGTGAGCGAAGATGGGACCACAGCTACTGCTACCGCAGCGGATGGGAGGCAATGGATTGGAGATCTTGTCATTGGGGCGGATGGAGTGTTTGGAAAATTGACGGAGGGATTACTGGGTCGAGTCGACCCTCCGGTGAAGACTGGAGATCTCGCATACCGCTTGCTGTTGTCAACGGAAGAGATGCGGAAGGATCCTGATCTTGCGGAATTGGTGACAGATCCCCAGGTCAACTACTGGTTGGGTCCGGATGCTCACGCAGGTGTGTTCTTCTCTTCATCCCATGGGTGCATTACTAATTATGTAGTGAATTATGTCCTTCGAGGCGGAGAGCTGTTCAACATGGTACTACTTGTCCCCGACGATATCCCAGAAGAATCATTGGCATCGACCATCGAAGGAAATGTGGAAGAGATGTGTGCTTTGTTCAAAGACTGGGATCCTCGGTACGCTCTATACTTCCCCTCAACCGCGAGTACATACTGACAAGCACAGCATCCCCAAACTCTTGAAGCTCTGTGAGTCTGTCCAGAAATGGCGACTTTGTATCCGATTCGGAGACTTTGATTGGACCCACCCATCCGGGGCGTTTGTGATGCTGGGCGATGCAGTCCACGCTACATTGCCGTACTTGGCCTCTGGGTATGATTCTAATTATTCTTAAATTTTACATTAGCTAACAGTTGTAGTGCTGGAATGTCCTTCGAGGATGGAGCAGTTCTAGGCGAATGCCTCTCTCGACTACCGAATAGCCCCGGCATCTCCAAGACCTCAGCCGAGTTCCTGACTGCAAAGCAACAAGCTCTTGCTATCTTCCAAGAGTGTCGTAAGCAGCGAACGAAGATGATTGTCGAGCGGGGAAATATCCAACAGTATCTTTATCACCTCCATGACGGCGATGAACAGGAAGAAAGAGATCGCAAGATGCAGATGGTTCCCACGCCCGAGGGAGAAGCATTGGCTTGGCGAGATCCCGGTTTGGCACCTAAATTGCTGGGATATGACCACATTGCAGACGTATGTATTCTTTTCTCTGGTTCTGGACTTCACTAACTGTACTCAGGTCGATCGTCGGTGGGGCAAATCAATAGGAACTAGCGTCGTTGAGTCGAGACTATAGATATTTGAAATTACATATTTTAGCTCGTTTAAAGTCAGTACAGCATACGCAGCAGTATGTATAATATACAGATCATCTGTTATAGTTCGATTTTGACTCGCATCAATAAGTTGCAGAAGATTCTTGGGGAAAGACGCCTTCAGGTCGGCTAGATGCAGGCTCGGAATTTCCAGAGGAAGTGGGTAGATAGTCCAAACTTAAGTTCCATCCTTTCTGGCCAACAGTGACAGCGACTAAGCGTCTACTTAGATCATAACTCACTTACTAAGTGCCGAACACCAACTTCTTACGCTTGGACTTAGTCTTTGTTTAGTTGGCGTATTGATTAATCTTTGCTTCAAATCGATTTCATTTCATCTCATTTGCGTAACGTACCCAGGTCATGTACAATAAAGACATAGAGGATGGATACTCAAGTAAATAGGTTTCAACGCCATAACAGCAGAAACCAGAAACCAGAAACCAATCAAGACAGTACACCAAATGATGTTGAGCAGAATGAAGGAGGGAATGACGGTCCAACGACGGTTTCATGCTACCGGCTCGAGAATGATTCGGCCGAATTCATGCATATTCGGACCAAATGGTTTGGTCACAAGGAAGGCATCGGTGTTTCCCCCATCCCCCAGACAATCATACTATCCACTCTCAAACGGCACAAACGCAATGAAGACCTCGGGGCGGTCTTGTGAAAAGTGATCGCAACAAAGAACGCGCTGTAGGTCAGAATCTCGAATACCACTACAACCCCAGAGATCAACCGGCAACGGTTTAGTGCCGGCACACGTTATCTACGTCGCCTTAAAATCGCAACTAGTATACCCATTGTCCTTATTTTAAAGTCATTTGTGTGAATTTCGTGTATTTAATCCACGGGTCGTACAATAAGTTGAAATCAAATATATAAAATGACGAGGTTGGGCGTTGCTACATATGTCATCGGAGTCCGCGGGACCCGAGGGAGGCCACTCTTATTTTAAGGTAGGGATGTGCATTCTCCATCTTCACCTTTTGACTGGTGCCTTCGGGACCCGCGGGAAGCCAACACGGCTCAGGGTTCCTGATACAGGGGCTTGGCGGGTTCCTATGACGAAAGATTCCCTAAGGGGCTTGTTCCTGCCCTCTTCTAACTAACATCGATTGTTTCTCATCAATTGCAGCGAAACAGATGTATCAAAGTGCCTAGAATGACTCGGAAAGAAACCAGTGATGTCACTCTTGACAGTGACATTAATTTCATACAGACACCGGTACCTAAGGCCTCGGCTTTCGCAACAACTGAAAGCTGTGGAATTCCCCCTGACAAATGTCAGTCTCTCAATAATCTTAGCCTTGCCCGATCAATTGCTAATATTTTTAGTCACCTGCCATTCACAATCCTCCTCTGCCGGCGGAAGGTCCTGGCAATGAGAGCTTTTCCAATGTCGTGTTGATCAGCGCCCTCCTGGGGGTTCCAGCTCTCCTAGCCTACATACTGGGCGGAGGTATGAAAACGACACTATTCCTCAGTCTCATTACCGGTTTGCCGGTCCTCATTGGGTTCTGGGCTTGGAAATCCACCTCTAGTCCTCGCATCAATGATAAGGTGAAACTGCCGGGTCGACCCATAGAGCACTATGTGACATTCAAAAACGAGGCCGATCGTGCGAAATGGAATGGAGGGAAACGCGTCCCTATGCAGACCTTCTGCGAATTGTACCTGGATGGCGCGGTGGATTTTAACGGGGATTGTTTGGACATTATGGAATATCGACACGATTGGGCCCACTTCGGATTTACCTGGGACCTGTTCAAATTCATTTTTCTGACCTTCGCAAGGGATGTGTTATTTCATACTAAGTCACAAGATGAAGAGCAGATCCGTCCAAATTACGACCGCGGTAATGATCACTACGCCTGGTTCCTCGGTCCCCGCATGATCTACACCTCCGGTATCATATCCGACACAGAGCGAGAGGAAACCCTGGAGGAAATGCAGGACAACAAGATGGCCATTGTTTGTGAAAAGCTCGCACTCAAGAAAGGCGAAACAATGCTGGATATTGGCTGTGGGTGGGGAACATTGGCGAGGTTTGCGAGTCTCAACTACGGAGCAAATGTGACAGGTCTCACTATTGCACGACACCAGACCGCATGGGGAAATGACGCTCTCCGAAAGGCTGGTGTCCCGGAGTCCCAAAGCCGTATCCTATGCATGGATTACCGTGACATTCCCCATATGAAGTATGATAAGATCACCCAGCTGGAGATGGGCGAGCATGTTGGTATCCGGAAATTGACCGGCTTCTTCCGCCAATGCTATGATATGCTACAAGATGACGGTGCCATGTATGTGCAGCTATCTGGTCTCCGGCAGGCATGGCAGTATGAGGACTTCATCTGGGGTTTGTATTTGAATAAATACATCTTCCGTGGCGCAGATGCTTCTACGCCCCTTTGGAATTACGTGAGATCACTGGAGCGAGCTGGATTTGAAATCAAAGGGTGAGTCCTAGAAGTATTCAAACTGTTGTGGCGGCACTAACCATGAATATCAATAGTGTTGACACCGTTGGGGTCCATTATTCCGGAACACTTTGGAGATGGTACCGCAACTGGCTCGGCAATACTGATACAATCAAGGCCAAATATGGCCAGCGATGGTTCAGAGTGAGATTCCTCCTACATCTTACGCCAATATTTATCTAACCTGAAATAGATTTGGGAGCTCTTCCTAGCCTGGTCAGTCATCGCCTCTCGCCAAGGGAGCGCCACTTGTTTCCAAATTCTGGTTGTCAAGAATTTGAACTCAACTCATCGTGTCAATGGAATCGCATCCCAGTTCGGGTTGTCTGCTGCACTTGAATCTAGCAGAAAGGCCGGAAAGTCGAAGCTGCAGACAGTGTGAGTGAAGCAGAGTCCGGTCGGCCGGGCCATTCTGGTAACAAAATATCCGAACCACGCCGTGTAGCAGGGCAATGGCCCTACATAGCACTTCAAGTACACGTATTATTCTCACGGACTGATATGTCTTGAGTGGACATAGGGCAAACCATACATGTTACCCCTGTGTTATGATATACTCACGTACTGAATCAACACTAAGAGTCATATCAACTTGTGGTGCGCGAGGAACAAAAGCGTAAATCAACGATGATGTGACCCAAAATATGTCTGCAGTAAGCTGGCCTGGAGGGGTCGGAGTCGGCACACTGAATGCTGGCACTGGAACAATACCAACATAGCAAATCCCAACCCAGGGTTGCTATTGACACTCATTCATGTGATTGTAGTCTATTATATCTGTAGTACAAAACTTTAGGATATCCGTAGGAACTATAGGTCCTATAGGATCTCCAACCAGGTTGCCGACTATAAATTCAAGCAGAATATCCATATTCTTTTTCGGGACAAAGGCAGCTGCAGTCGCCCATCGTGTCGATCCCCATAGAGCGGGGTATAATTTCTCGGCGAAAACCGATGGTACAAGAGTGCCACTAGGAGTTCCTCCCCCGTGTGTCTTTGGTATATAGAGAGATATCTCTATTATCTATATGTACGTAGTCAACATTGTTCCTTGTCGGATATCATGGTGTCACATATCTTTCTCGTTGAGATAGATGCCTGGTTTGTCACGCTGGCCGCTACATAATTAGGTCTCTGTTTGTTTGTAAAGAAATGCATCCTTTGTTCTTCTTCGGCGGAAGCCTCCCGTTTCTACTCCAATAACAAAAATCCTCTTCCGAGAAACATGGCTACACATTGTACAAGAAATGAGGAGCCAACAAAGATAATAGCAAGTAGACGATTAGTTTTGATACGGTTACGTATATCGTGACATACATAATCCATAACATCACGCAATAGGGTATCGACTCAAAATACCTGAAGTTTTCACTCAAGCATCATATGTGCGTAATGTGGGTCAGCGTTCTCTTTATTACGGTTTCGCTCTTCCAGGCCAATCTATCCTTGCTATTCCCAATGTGTCTCTAAATACCACCAGAAATGGTATCAGAGCTTCACCCCGTTCTGGGGTTTCCAATGTCAACGCAAACTGTCTCCGTTTCCTTGATTGATTGGTATATTCCCTTCCTGTATCAATCGAATTTCAAATCCTAGACATGAGCAATATACTAATGTTCTACAGCGGTGCTCACCTCGATCTTCCAGCAGAACAGTTCTTATATCCAAACATAGAAGGCCACGAGCGCCTTCGAATTCCTTCCTATTCATTTCTAATAACACACCCATCGAAAGGCCGGGTACTGTTTGATCTGTCTCTACGAAAGGATATTCAGAATCTCGCCCCAGTCATGGCCAATCGTATAAACAATCCAAGTGTGGGGTGGAAAGTGGCAGTGTCTCAGGACGTGCCCGACACACTGCTTGCGAACGGAATTGAACTACACGAGATGAAATCAATATTTTAGTCTCATCATCACTTTGATCACATTGGAGATCCTTCCGAATTTCCAAGCAGCACAGAGTTAGTTGTTGGGCCAAGGTTCACGGATGCATATACACCAGGGTATCCAGATAATCCGGATTCGCCGGTGAAATCAGCTGATTTGAAGGGGCGTCGAGTCAATGAACTTGATTTTGACAATTCTAAAGAGTCTATCTGCATTGGACGCTTCAAAGCTTTTGACTGGTTTGAAGACGGGAGCTTCTATTTATTGGATGTTCCGGGTCATGCGGCTGGTCATATATGTGGTTTTGCTCGTGTAAAGCCCGATTCTTTAATCTTAATGGGTGGGGTGAGTGGTCATTGATGTGTTTATTACAACAGCCGCGCTGACAGACATCAGGATTGTGCTCATCATCCCGGTGAATTTCGGCCGTCGAAGATTTCTCCTGTTCCTAGAGATGTTATTCCTTTGCATGTAGCAGTACATTCGAAACAGGCGTCCGTGTACCCCGGGAACATCACTGAAAAAATCAATAAAAGGAGTGACATCGAACGGTCACCAATCTACAAGGCCGCTGCAATGTTTACTCACGATATTGATAAATACCAGTGGAGTATGGAAGGTATCCAAGAAGTTGATGCCTGTGAAAGTGTGCTTGTGATCATAGCTCATGACAGTGGGATTTTGCCTGTGCTCCAACAGGCAAATGGGAAAGAATCATTCTTTCTTTTTCCAAAGTGGGAATTGACCGAATGGCAACATAATGAACTCAAGGAGGCTATCAAGTGGGTTTTCTTGTCCGATCTCGCAATACCGACTTGATTACAGCATGGAACATCTGCATTCCTTTGTTGCTGTGCAAAATCGCCCCAGAGCGGATTACACATGGATCATCTCTAAATGGCTACATCGACCCGAATTGGAAAAGACCGTCGTGCCAGTTTTCTTCAGTTGTATCGTAATGCCTGTGCGATGTAAAATCCCAACTATTCTCCCCGTCTTCACACTCGTTAGGTTCTCACCTCTTCCTCCCGAGCAGGGACAGGGGCGTTTTCACCAGGCATCAACAGATGCATGGGTCTACGAACATATTCTAGAAAGATGTAGCCCGCAGCATAAAACGTTTGGATTGGTTTGTGGGGTTCAACTCGGACACGTCCTATCCTGTTTATTTATACCTCACTAAGCTTTCAATTCATTGATTGGCTAGGTAGGTATAGGAGATGGTTCAGTACATGAATACCTTTTGGAAAAAGAAATGCCCGTCAGGAATGCACAGCCTAAAAGTCAATGCAGATCTTTCCAATATGCTGCCCGCCTGTCATAAAGTCAAGAGCCTTGATAACCTCATCACGGCCAAATTTGAAAACCTTCTCAACCGGAATCTGCAAGTTTTGCTTGCCAATGAAGCGAACAGCATCCTCAAGCATCTCCTTCGAGCCGACCATGATGCCACGCACAACAGCTCCCTTGCCCAAGGCAAGAAGGGCGACATCTGGCATCTCATCTTGGGATGCAAGAGACAAGAATCCAATACAAGAAATAATTCCACCGTACGCGATCGCTTCCAGAGATTGTTTCATTGTACCGGAGCCACCGTTCTCGAGAATGAAATCGACACCTTGCCCACCAGTGATCTTCTGAGCTTCAGCTGCCCAGTCGGGAGTCTTTTTGTAGTTGATAACATGATCGACTCCGTATTTCTCCTTCACATAGGCTAGCTTCTCATCGGAAGAGGATGTGATGATTGTGGTCGCACCAGCCGCTTTAGCCAACACTAGGCCGGTGATAGACACTCCTCCCGTACCTATTAATTAAATGTCAGCGCCATTGCCGAAAGACATAGAACAAGAATAGACGTATAGCCATGACATACCCTGGAAAAGAACAGTCTGGCCAGGCTTCAATGCCACGTTTCCATACAGAGAATTCCAAGCCGTCACACCAGTACAAACAACACTGGCCCACTGAGCGTAACTAAGTGTTGACGACTCAGGAACTTTTACCACGCTTTGGGCTGGGATTGTGATGTACTCTCTCAGAACCCCATCTGTAGGGCCGCCTAGGCCGGTCTGCCAAGTCTTGATAGGTCCATACAGAGTGGCTGGATCAAAGGCAGCGACAACTTTGTCACCTTTCGCAAACCCAGTCACTCCTTCGCCAACTTCGACGATATCGCCCGCAGCATCGGATCCCGGAACCACATTGTCCTTCACGGCAAATGGGTACTGACTAGTGGCGATAGCAACATCTCTGTAGTTGAGAGAAACGCTGCGGACTTTGATGAGGACTTCATGTTTTCCAACAATGGGACGAGGCTCAACATATGTTTGGATGTTTTTCCAAGAATCGCGAGTTGTGTGGCGAAGAACAGTGTGAGAAGACATTTTGATATGAAGTAAGGAGTTGAAGAGTCAGTTTTCACGGTTAAGCTTGAAATGTGGCAGGATGAAAGGGTCTATTTAACATTTACTTCTCTACGTAGTTAAAGGTAAAGCATCCGGTAGCTTTACTAATCTGTTGTTCTGTTCGCAGTTTCTACCCCATCTGAACCACATCGCATTTCTACCCCAAAGCTTAATCTGCTTACATATCAGTTTTGATTGCCCCAGTGGATGAACAAAGGCAGGAAATTACCAAATTGTGGAAACAGTGGAGCAAAATATATTACAAGCCCACTAGACTCCGTCCATGGGTCTGATGCTGGATGGGGTAGATATCGGGCACATATGGAGTAATTACCCCAGTTTCTTCGGAGGAATTGGAACCCGTCTTGCCTCACATTCCCCTTCCACAATACAGTCCAGAAATCTTCATATTGTCATTAGGCTAATGGTATTCTTTATTAGTTCGGAGTTCTAAGCCACAGTTAATTGCGGAGAGCGAATTGGGCAGAGGAATCAAGATTCGTTTTAAAAGGGATAGACTGGCGTAGAATGAACCAGGAAATTGTAAGGGAACTGTGACAGAGATGGCCAGACTTTCTACTCATCGTCTTTTATTTTGGTAACTTTTGGTGTATATATAAAATGTTACGACCCAACGCCATCACCCTTCAAATGCTTATATTTAATTGTGAGGGTTAATGAATACGCTAGTATGTCGGAAATGACCTAAAGTACTCTGTTTTCGAGATCCAACAACCTCAATACACCACTCGAGGAAAGTTTGAAACCCTTGTTCTGGATCTTCTTCATACCGCACCCAGTTCCGTCTAATGAATGCTTTCAATTCTGAGAAGAACTCCTCGATAGGATTTAAGTCAGGTGAGTAAGGCGGCAGATACACAAGCTTTACTCCTGCTTCAATACACATTTCCCCGATACGATCAGAACGATGAAAAGATGCGTTGTCCATGACTAGAACGGACTTAGGCTCAGGCCATCTTCCACAGTGCCGAAGAAGCTGACTAATGAAGTCCTCGAAGACTGCAGCATCCGTGGATCCCTGAAATATACGAGAGAGCACAATTCCATCTTGGTAATATGCGGGCAGTATCTGGTACCGCTGGTCACGATGGAAGTTGGCTACCTGCAATAGTGCTGTGCCTAACGGAGACCAGCCTGTCCGTCTGAACCCAATTCGTTTATCACATCCAGACTCATCCACATAGACCAAGTGATACGACTGAAAGTCCGACAGGTTATGCATATAAAAATATCGTATATCCGCATTCAGTTCCTTTGCTCTTTGTCGAGCCACCTTCTTCGACCAACCCACTGAAGCGAGAGCCCGTTTGAGGCTTGAATTTGTGACCTGGACACGGAACTCGTCCCATAAGAAGACTGTCATCTCATCCACATATAGCCCGGGCTTTTCGAGGAGGCGATCGTATAATACTTCTATCATCGGAGGAGTTATGCTTCGTCGTTGACCGACTCGAGTTGGGGGTGCTCTAACATTTCCAAACTGGCGGAGATTGTTGCTGATGTTGATGATGGAACGCTTACTATATCCAGCAGCTTTGGCCATTTGCGAGGCAGTCAATGATTTGCTCAATATTATGTGCTGGATCATTTCGAGCTTTGAGAGAGGGAGTCTTGGCGCCATATTGCGAAGAGAAGTCTGGACGTTGATGTAGGAGAGGTTTGGCAGAGGCAGTGGTTGACTGTCGCGGGGGGGGATAGGGAGCGACTCCATCTGCTCACCTTTGCTCACCCCTCTGTTCAGTGAGCAGGTAAAAGGAATCTGGGTGAAAAGTCTGGGGGATGCTGGCTATTATAAAATGCACGTGACATGGGCGATCTCGCAGTTCCTGGGAGCTTGGGGGCCTATCTCAAAGCTGCGGACCTCAAAAAAGTGGTTGCTTGGCTGAAAAACCTATACGTTAGTTTCACAATGACAACAACAATTTGCGATATCAAAGTATCTATCGTGTACTTGAAAGAGCGGGCAGCAATAAGCTCTCGAAGTGATACTGTCAAAGCATGCTTTTTACCCTGCGGGACCTGGCTGATTATCGCGTGCTGCGCTTGATCTGAGTGTTTTGGCTCGGGTCGATCCGGTTCCTGGGAAGGTACTGGTCCTGCCCCACGGCTCGACGTGGGTGGCCTGCAAATCTGGTCTCCTGTCTTAGCGCCGCGGAGCCGAGTCACCTGATGACGTACCCCTCCTTCAGTTGAGAGCCAGAAAAGAGCTTGTAATGAACTACAGAGAGGCAAATTTATACAACTATGGGGTCGACAAGCCACTCTGGTGTCAACTATGGAGCCCAGGTGGGAATTAATTATGGCACATTCACGGCAGACTTTCATCTGCCACCGGGTAAGTCAGGAACGGAACCAAACAAGGTCAAGATCGACTGACTAATTGCCGCTTCCCTCTAGAGCGGCCAGAAACTCCGCCTAGCCCTTTGTCAACTGTGCCATTCACGCGCGATCCAGATTTTGTCCGTCGCGAGACACTGCTTGATCAGATCTATAGTAAAAACTCGGTCGCGGGGTCGAGGATAGCGCTGATTGGCCTCGGCGGTGTTGGGTAAGTGTATTGCGGCTCTTACGTGGTCTATTGCTGACAAATGGAAGAAAATCGCAACTTGCGATCGAATACTCCTACCAAGTCCGATCCAAATCACCGGCAACATGGGTTTTCTGGGTCCATGCGAGTAATGAAGCCCGATTTGAGCAAAGTTTCCGGGACATCGCGGACCAGGTTAAAATCCCGGGTCGTCAAGATGCTAAAGTTAACATATTCAAACTGGTCGAAAACTGGCTCCGGGATGGAAAAATAGGAAATTGGGTTTGTGTCCTTGATAATGTTGATGACGATCAGCTTCTTTACTCGGGTCCGGTGGCAGGCAAGCGAGATCCGATGAGCGGCTCAACGATCGCCTCGACGAAACCACTCTTAGAATACGTTCCTAGGAGCCGGAATGGCTCTATCATTATCACGAGCCGGACTAGAGAGGTTGCGTTGAAGATAGTCCATCACAGTGACCTTATTGAGGTTAAACCTATGGAACAGTCCGAAGCGCTAGAGCTTCTCCAAAGAAAGCTTGAACAACCAGGACAGAGCGAAGAGAGTCGACAGCTAGTAAACGTGTTAGAGTCTATACCGCTAGCGATCGTACAGGCTGCTAGCTATATTCGAAATCGGGCGCCTCGGTCTTCGGTATCATAATACTTAAAAGATTTCCTACGGAGTGACCGTGAAGCAATAAAGCTTCTAAAAAAAGAGGCGGGTCACCTCTACCGGGACTGGGAAGCAAAGAACTCAATTTTGGTAACGTGGCAAATTTCATTTGACTATATACGCCAAACAAAGCCGTCAGCAGCGCAGTTGCTTTCTCTTATGAGCTTTTTCGATCGGCAAGGAATACCAGAGAACCTTATCCGGCATCAGCTAAAGGCCAACTATATATCAAATTCAGAACTTCTAAGTGACTCCAGTGATAGGGAGACATCTGAATCTGATTCAGGTCCCGATTTTGAAGATGACGTCGCAACACTTAGGGACTATTCATTTATATCTGTTATTGAAAACAGCACTCTCTTTACGATGCATCGGCTGGTGCAACTGACTACGCGCGCGTGGTTGAAATCCCATGGACAGATAGATCAATGGAAGGGTGAATTCATTAGCACCCTATACGACGAATTTCCCATAGGTGAATACGAAAATTGGGAGAGGTGCAGGCCACTATTTCCTCATGTCAAATCCGCAATGTCACAACAGCCAGCATCACCTGAGTGTTTACTAAAATGGGCTATGTTGCTTTATAGAGGTGCATGGTATGCGTCGCAGATTGGTAACATCACGGATGCGAGAGAAATGGCATTTCAATCAAGAAATCATAGAATGATTTTATTAGGTGATGAACACAAAGAAACCATTGATAGCACAAGCATACTGGCAACGGCATACTCGCAGGAGGGCCGATGGGAGGAGGCCGAGCAGCTCGAGGTGCAGGTGATAGAGACTCGCAAGACGAAGCTCGGCGAGGACCATCCCTCTACGCTGACCAGTATGGCCAACCTGGCGTCGACGTACAGGAACCAGGGTCGGTGGGAGGAGGCCGAGCAGCTCCAGGTGCAGGTGATAGAGACAAGCAAGACGAAGCTCGGCGAGGACCATCCCTCCACGCTGACCAGTATGGCCAACCTGGCGTCGACGTTTTGGAACCAGGGTCGGTGGGAGGAGGCCGAGCAGCTCCAGGTGCAGGTGATGGAGACGAGCAAGACGAAGCTCGGCGAGGACCATCCCAACACGCTGACCAGTATGGCCAACCTAGCATCGACGTTTTGGAACCAGGGCCGGTGGGAGGAGGCCGAGCAGCTCCAGGTGCAGGTGATAGAGACAAGCAAGACGAAGCTCGGCGAGGACCATCCCTCCACGCTGACCAGTATGGCCAACCTAGCATCGACATTTTGGAACCAGGGCCGGTGGGAGGAGGCCGAGCAACTCCAGGTGCAGGTGATGGAGACGAGCAAGACGAAGCTCGGCGAGGACCATCCCGACACGTTGACTAATATGGCTAATCTCGCTTTCACTTGGAAATCTTCAGCTCATGATGCCGAAGCGATCGACTTGCTACGAGACTGCTTAGCCAAGCAGAAGCAAACACTCGGCCTAAATCATCCGACAACTTTATCTACTTCTGAAACTTTGTTGGAATGGGAAACGAAAGCGATACGGGAACCTCAAGGGGAATGGGAAACCGATAGGGAATAGGAACGAAAGGGCTGGGTATAGATGCGTAGATATTATGCTTAGGGGTTTTATGTTTACACTGCGTTTTCTGCTTCACGTGTACTTCCCAAAGCGATGTCCCATCACAGATATACTTACTGCGCACTCCTCGAAGTGGACTGACCTTTTCGCTTTATTAAGCATCGCTACCAAATATATTGAGACAAGTGGAAGGAATCTCCTGTGTCAGTCAGCGAGCCTTAGGATGTTCGGATTGTGAAGTTAAATCATATTTCCCGATGTCAAACCGAAGCCGGCCGTGAATCCAGGAGATCAGCAATAATTGTAACGCTCTCGCCTATCACCTGAGAGATATTGAATACATGAAACCCTCCAAAGGTTTCCACCCACAGTCGAGCGGTAGATGCTGCGAGACGGCGGACTGCTTCCGCATCATCATCCGCCCAATTTAAAAGCTCGGTAAGATCTGCCTCTCTGATAACAGTATAAATCATGCGGAGGAGCTTACGCTCATCGTCCCGTAAATTTTGAACGCCAAACACTTCTATACATCGAGCAATCTCCTGGAGCCAATGGTTGAGAAGGAATGTACATTCAAGGTTGCAAAGCGAATGCTGCATGCTCCAGCTCAGCGTTTGAGTGCGTGCTATGAACTTTATTCCCGACCGGACAGGAACGCTTAGTGCGTGGATGCACTGCAAAACTGCACGGTCAAGAAACGGGGAACGTTGACAGACAGCAGGTCGGCCATCGATAAGGGCACGGGCAATTTCCTCGGCATTCCGAGTACTTAGTTGACGGTGCGGTCCTGTGTTGGCGTTGAGACGAATATATGCTAAGCGCAAAATTGCTGTCGCGTTGAATCCCATAGGACCTCTAGGAGATAAGGGATCCAGGGTGGACTCATAGGTTGCCTCCCAGGAATTTTGCCAAGCTCGCAGTGCCGATTCCATTGCCTGCACGAAGCTCATTGAAAAAGACCCGGTGGCTTGATCTACCAGAGAAGATGTGTTGCGAGCGAAGAAGATTTCTTGAAATAAGCCGTGGATGAGTACATAATTCGCGAAGGCAGAGATTGCCACCGGCTCGTGAATTTGATGCCCCTGGAGAATCTCTCCCAAAGCTTGCTGGAAGTTTCTGGAGTCAGGTATATGAAATCTTCGCATATGTCTCCATTCTTGGCGATTCGAGGCGTTCCATTCTTCGCCGCAAGATGGCAAGGTCAAAAGTACTTCCTGGTTCAGGATCGTAGGTGGAAAATGAAAGGCCAGGCATAGTAAGTTGGATTGAGCATATGCCACCCATAGTGTTCGACGGCGCTCCTCCGTCTCCACCCAGTCTTCCCAAGAAGATGTCTCGTGGCCTGCGTCCGGTTTAGAGATGCCGATTTCACGGACTAACATAGCGACTTGGCCGGACATCGAGAGTGAGTCACCCACTACAGCACGATCGCCCCATGATGCCACGGTCATCAAGGCTATAAGTCCCTGCAACAAACGTAAAAGCTTCGGAGTTTTTCTAGATAAACCAGTGTGAGCATCTTCATCGTTATTGATGGTAGGGCAGCTCTTCGGGGGATCTCGTATGTTCGAAGTATCCGCGTAGCCGTGGGAAGTCTTTGTTAGATCCGAAATTCCCAGGCCGCTGCGTTGGTCGAGACGCCAGTTGATGAGTGTCCGTGCGGCATGGTAAATCATGTACCCTTTTGCATCTTCAAAGCGATAGAACGCTCCCACCGCCGCCAGTGATAAAATGAGTTCTGTGCCGAGCGTGGACGCAGAGGAGGATGGGATGTGGAGGAATGGCATATGATCATGATAACTGCGAAAGAATCCTTCCAGGAAGCGAGAGACAGTGTGTCGGGAAGGCAAGGAAAAAGATGACGGGAGAACAAAGGCGAGCTCCTTGATGTCATTGGAAAGCCCTGCATAATCTGAAGGCGTCAGTTTCCAAGGGGAAACTGAAGGAGCATAATTCCCTTTCAATTCACGGTTTTGAGATGGATCTCCCTCTTCCTCGGCAGCGATGGGGTGATTTTCGTGGTCCATGTTGGGCTCTGTGTTTATGTCTAGGGGATTATTGATATTTGGTTGCCCTTGCTCTGCTTGTTCGGAGCTTTGCTGTTGCTCCACGAGAGGAACTTGATATTGTTGGGAAATATCCACTAAAGAGAGGTTCGTGTCGAAGAAGCTAGCAGGTAGAACCTCCGAAAATGGACGCGAATCGTTCCAAAGAAAGTCTAAATCATCGGTCTCATTCCACGGTATTGTTTGATCAGCAGTTTTCTCTGCCACAGTTCCCATGGGATCTGCTTCAATGGGGAATCCAATAGGGTCACTTTGAATGTCTGGCGGGTCGCAAGTAGGAATATGTTGGGATAAAGAGAACCCAGCCTCAGTAATGGTGGAGCCGGTCCCCTGGGTGCCATCAAGCTCAAGAGCGCCGAAAAGGTTCGATTCCCCATCCTGCTGGGGTAGCGAGGATGGATCATCAACATTTACATCAGAATACAGGGGGCTGTCCTTGTGAGACAGCCGTAGATGGCGCGTCAACATATCTCTTGAGAGACGGTCAGTACGCGCGATCTGATTAAAAGTCACACTTGCTTACTGTCGTGCAAATCTTCCGCCACATTCACATATGAAGGGCTTCTCGTGTGTATCTCCATAAATATTAGTCAATTGATAGGGGGATGTGAGTTAGGAAGTTTATCTCTTACGGGTGCGCTCATGTCGCCGAAGATGTTCTTGTCGCTTGAACTGCTTTTGGCAGAACCTGCAGGGCGGGACAAGAGAGCGTGGTCGGCCCATGGCCTCTGGCACTACGCCGTTGCGTCAATGAGGGCAGTAGACCTGTGGAGCTTTGATGATAGAAATATGGTGGCTGACCCGCAAGGCATTGATGAGCCGCAAATAGCGGGTCCGGTCATCATCATCATGTGACGAAAACCACGTGAGACAGTACAAAGCTTCCAGTCCAACCATGCAACAATTCTAAAGCACTTGGAATGATTAAATTACCCAAATAATGGAGACATTATTATAATGGTACGCCTGGCCATCAGGTTAAGCATAGAAAGATACATAAGATGAAGGTAGAATGTGGAAATATGAGGCTGAAGGTATATATAAATTATAGTAGTGCTAGGGTTCTGAGATATCTAGAGGACCAACCTAAGAAATAGCCCCCTTTAGGCCATAGGTAGACACCATGGTTTTTGGAGTGGCCTAGGGATGAAGTAATGACTGTACTCTTTCCCACAATTTATATAATAAGCCGTAGAGGTCTATGGCCTAGTTATCGTTAGTCGGTGGGGTAACAGCGTTATCGGGCCAAGGCTGTAAACCCCCATCTTTGACATTCCGAAGTTAACATGTTGTATAGGGTAAAATCCGATTTATTAACATAAATTATAATACGTAGTATCTTATCGCTTGACACATGTACTTCCCCACCCCCCCATTTTCAACCCCCTCACGACAACTAAGAGTACCTTGCTATATAGACGTGTTAGCCATAGTGCCTCGTAACCCAAATTTGACTCAAATTTGATTCAAACACATCATCCATTCAAAATGTGGCGGATTTTCGGTTCAGGAGTCACAGAAAAGAGGACCCTCCACGCGGTCTACCAGCATCATGGTATCGCTCAGAGGCAATATACCAATTGGAGAGACGGGCAATCTTCTCTAAGCGATGGATGCTGCTCACCCACTCCAGTCGTTTCAAGAAGCCGGGAGATTATCTGTCTTTCACAATTGCCAACTTCTCCTTTTTCCTTATCCAGGACCGAGACGGTACAATCAACAGCTTCCACAATGTCTGCCGTCACCGCGCATTCCCCGTTGTCCAATCTCCCTCCGGCACGACATCCATCCTGAGCTGCAAGTACCACGGATGGTCATACGGCCTGAAGGGTAATCTCGCCAAAGCTCCACGATTTGAAACAGTGCCAGATTTCGATAAAACCCAACACTCATTATTCCCAATCCATGTGCACGTCGACAAGGCTGGCTTTGTATGGGTCAATCTGCAAGCCGGTGAGACGGACGTGAAATGGGAAGATGATTACGAGAAGGTGGATGAGGAACCCCGCATGCAGGACTTTGACTTTGCCACCGAGTTCAAGTTCGATCATTACTGGGAGATGGAATTGGATGCGAACTGGAAGGGTGTCATTGAGAATTATAATGAGTGCTACCATTGCGCTACATCGCATCCGCTTATCAACGGCGTTTCGGATTTACCAAAATATCGGGTTGAGCCCAAGGCCCGGTATATGGAGCATCATATTTTCAATAAGGAGGGTTCTGATAGCCAGTTTCGACGGGCGATTACATACTTCTATCCTACGACTTCTGTTACGGTGACGTGAGTAGTATATTCTTACCCTTCCAGGTTGCCAAATGGCGGGGCTAACCTAACTAGTGATAAATTCTTCTATATCCAACGCATGATTCCTGTATCTGCTACTTCGAGCAAGATTGAGAACGAGGTTTACCGTCACCGGGATGCCACTGACGAAGAGTTCGAAAATATCAACGCGTTCTATAGACAGGTTCTCGACGAGGACAAGGAGCTTTGTGTTGGAACGCAGGAGAACCTAAGTGCTGGGGTTTTCACCAATGGTGAACTACACCCTAGTAAGGAGAAGGTAACATCCAACCATTTCACTACTACGGCAACAACTAACTGAGACATTAGGGACCTATACACTTCCAAAGTAGCGTCAGAAAAATGCTGACAGAACACCGAGAAAATGAAGAAAAGCAAGGAGGGGTGGAGATTTGGCCGGCCACCCCGAAAGCTCAGTCCTCGAAGGATTCGGTGCAAGATGAAGCCTTTTGCTCACAGTTGGAGGCATCTAGTTGTATGGCCAAACCGGAACTGGCATGGTAGCTAGATGCACGAGATTCTTGCTCTACTTGTTAGTGTTAGCTATGCAAAACAAACTTGTAACTATGATGTATGCTATCTCAGTCGATTACTATTATAGTTGTTTATCATCGTCTGTACAACGTTCATATTGTTCACTTTGGCCTAGTGGGAGAGGAAGAAGAATAGAAGAAATAGACAAGCACGACGACCTGTATCATAAATTCGCTAATCAATATAACCCCCCAAAACCAACAATAACCTATTTACTCAACCCAAGCGGGTTATCACCGGTCTGCTTCTGCCCCCCGAGACTAGAGACGCCACTCTGCACCCCCTGTCCTGCGCTCTTCGTTGTATTGCTGACACCCTCTGTCGCACCCGAGACGGTCTGTCCAAGTCCTGATGTTGCGTTGCCAACGGTTGAACCAAGGCCGCCAACTGTGCTTCCCAGTGTGTTTGTCACGCCGCCGACTGTCTTGCCCAAGGTATCGCCTAGGCCGCCGAGAAGTCCAGCTATTGATGTTTGGTTAATTGGGGTTTGGGTTTTAGGTTTGGTACATGGGGAACATACGGTTTTGCTCGTTGGACATGGTGGTTATATGGAAGAGGATGTGTGGTTTGTGTGTTGTAAGGATATGTAATTCGAAGTGTCCGATGTTTCAATACAGTGTTGATCGAGATTATGGTAGAGTCGCAGGCATCGCCGTCTTTATTTATATCAACGCCACGCTCTGAAACCGGTTACATAGCCATGATATCAGGTGCAACATGCGCTACTTTCTGGCAGCCACCATGATCTAGCTTGATATCTTGGATGTGCCAATCTGACGTATGGCTGCCCCCAATGTTCCCCGCAGCGTAGATAATAACAAATCGTTATTGGTTGATATTCTCCGATCACTTGTGGAGATTGGCTGAGAGACAGTTTCTAGAAAGTTTGTTATATTAAACGATAGTGGCGAATGGTGGATGACTGGTGAGGGCCTGTTGTTGTGATGTTGTTTCTAATTGGGAGAGGCCAGAGGTATGATGTCATTGGCTGTCCGATGCCTCAATTGGGTGGACCTGGCCAGGATATTTATATTAACTGTAGGATGATCTCATGTCCGACAAAATCATGGTCTGCAAGAGTGAATTGGTATTTGCGATTGAGGAGCACAAGGTTGTCACACATCCTGTGGAGCAGATCAATGTCCACCTCGGAAGTATTATGGGTGTAACGCATCGGCATATTTACAAACTCGCCTTTCCGCGAGACTCATATGGCATGAACAACACAAGAATGCCCGCCGCGATGAACAGGGCCCCGCTCACATAAACAGGAATAGCAGTTGTGAGATCAGCGAACATGGCAATGATGGGAGCCATGATGCCAAAGATGCGATTTGCAGACGCAGTTAACGCATTTCCCGTACCGCGGTCCTTGGTGAGGAAGATCTCGGGAGTATATGCATATAACACAGCATACATGAGGCTACTCATGAAATTAAAGGCGCAGTTCCAACCCAACAGAGCATTTGATGTGGTAGCTGTTGTCGACGCAAGAAGGAAGGCTCCAGTTATAGCTGTCGAGGAGCTGAGAGCACCCTTCCGGCCAAAGCCTGGTAGTTCAACCAGCATTCCACCAAGCAGACAGCCTGGGATGCCCATGACGGCAATAATCAACGAGTTCCGATACGTGATGTATGTCGACCCATCACCGAATTCGGCGCCTCGGGACTGCTGAATGTATGGAAGGAATGCGTTGTATAGTGGGAAGCCGAGACCTATGAATGCCCAGACGAGGATGATCAAGGTTGTAGCCCATGCTCGCTTAGGAGTATCAAAAAGAGCACGGATATGGTCGAACCGCACTGCCTCTAGACGTTGTCGGACGATGTTTGCCGCGGTAAAATGTTGTATCTCGCCCTGGTCCAAGGCGTCGAGCTCAGTTATCGTCAAATCAGATGTTTTTCCATTCCTTCTGGCGACTTCGTGGACAACTTTCACAGCCTGCTCATTCCTCCCCTTTCCCATGAGGTATTTGGGGGACTCGAAAATCGTGAAAAACACAAACCGACCAACAAACATAATCATCGCAATGCCACCCATCGTGATCATAAACCACCGCCACCCCATGTTGTCAGATTTCGTACATCCTTCTGCTGAATCACAAGTTCTATACCCAAGTAGCGGCCAACCGATCAAATTAGCGACCACCTGCGCCACAGCCCAGTCAATCGACAAGATAGTCAACAGGTACTGATGTGACCCAGGTAGGAACTCCAGAAAGATGGCCGAGTCAACAGGCAGATTGCCACCTACGCCAACAGACCACAAAGCGGCAAATGTACATATAGCCGCGAAATTGGGCGATCCCGCCGCGATCAGGCCAAACACCGCCGTTATTCCGATCGTCAAGTTGAACGCCCATCTGCGACCGAAAATATCGCATCCAAATCCCCAAAACACCGCACCGACGAGCAACCCGATGTTTTGCGCAAGCGTCAACAGTGGCGCTTTTGACGGATGGAACTCGTTTGACACTACGGGAAGAATCAGAGAGGTAACAATTGGCCACAGGTTGTCGCTCGCCCAGCCGAATCCAATCACGACGAAGAGCTGCCACTGGTATCGGCCCATGCCGATCGTCTGAATCGCATGGTTGAGAACCTCAGCTTTGGCTTTGTAATTCGCGTCGGGACCCTCATCTTGAGGGATAGTTGGGCTCTCGATCGCCGCTGGCTCGAGGCCAGGCGATTTAATCGCTTCTGACATGTCGTGTTGAGGACAGGAAAAAGGTAGGAACGCGGCATCGGGGGGGGAACACCCCAGCTTATAGGGTGACTTCCCGCATTCTCACTCTGACCCCATCGGATTGGAAGGTCCATGTGTCTAATCATATCCCACGCAGCAACTTGCAGATCAGCATAATTCGGGGACTTCTTTCTTTTCCATCTGCTTCGATTGGATGGTTTGATGGCGTGATCGATTGGTGGTTTGGTGTCAGATCCGTCCAAGCATTTACCCAAATCAGAAAAGACCGATCCTACCCTGCAGGCATTCCTGACTCATTACAGGGATGTTTTCCGTATCACGTGGGAGGTCCAGAGCGTTTCGCTTTTGACAAAATTGAAGCCTTTGAATATGCTGAAGAAACATTGCCCATTATTGAAACCCATGCAAACTTCAGACTATGCTATTCATCCTTGGGTGCTCAGCACCATTTCCGCTTCAGCGCCAAGGGACACATAGAGAACGGACGGGCAACTTCCCACAGCTCCTCTGAAGGAGTAATATCTTGTGTCTGAAGTTCACTTTGGCTCGATTAATAATAGGAGGATTTCAATTTACCCAAACCACTTATCCACGACTTTCCTCAAGCAGTCGCTACTTCACGACCGCGAGAATAGGTTCCAGGATAGGCGACCCCCGCTAGGTCTAAAACCGTTGGTGGAATGTCCATAACTGTTAAGAAAGAGTGCGTTTTAGCGTGGTCGGGGTGTTCAAGTTGCAGATATTGAACAATGCAGGGACAGCGTATTCCCCTACTCCCTCGGTACCATTATCGGCCATCATCACACATAAACAGTACAAATGTGTTCTCAAGTTCCCTTGTTGACTCGAGATAATTGAGCACACGCCCAGAATTGGCATCAATTTCCTGAACCTTAGCTGCGAAAACCTCTCATTGATTTTCTGGATCTCTTTCGCTCCTCATCAGCCATTTCATTCCAGCCTTTACCCAAAGACCCCTGAGCGGGCTTGCCGCCTTGATTTGGATATGGCAATCTTGGATGATGCCGAGTCTGTGTATAAGGTCCGCCATGATATGGCTCGGCCTGATTAGCACTATTCGTACAGAAATTATGCCCAAACTAGCCCTTAGCGGATTTTTTAAGCCCGTTCCGCTCTTAATAAAGACTTTGCAGAGTTCGCAGAGTCAAGGGAAAATCTCCGCTGTGCAAGAGTTCCCGCTTAGCATCTTCATCATGGGTGCAGATATATGGGAATCAATCCAGGGGGTATATGATTTGGTAATGTGGTAAATGAGTGGGATTCGGGGCTTGGATTCACAAATACACCGGTGAGAAACGAAACAGTACACAAAAGAGCGGCAATGGCGATGGGGCAACACAATATTGTGTGGTTGTTATATTACTATGTCGATCCTTTCGAGGGAGGAGCGCGCTGACAGCTGTGCAAAGCAGGTCTCATTCCTACGATGCATCATGCAATGTGAAGCTGATTGCATAAACGCCAGCAGAGTGGATCGGCAGCGTTAATCTTAAATCCGGGAGGGGGCTGACTCCATTTCGGGGCTACCCGAAGCCCCGATTAGGATTAGCATTGAAAGAACCCCAATTCTAGTCCATATTGATACAAACCTCGTATAGATCGATCATTCCAAGTATTTCAAATTCATTTCTCAAATTTCCGACATCAGCTTGTGTAATGCTCTAATGCTCAAATGCTGACCATATTCTTTCATCCGCTCATAGTGCTTGTTTCAACGTACCGGTACTATGAAAAACGCTCATGTTCGAAGTGCTTGATTTGACCTGCGTCTGATATAATCATTTAGAAGAACGTATATCTTAGACTGTCCTATTATCCACTTTGATCAAAGGTATCTCAAGTATCTACTCACCCCCAATCTGACGTAAGAAATTATATATTTCGGGGATTCAAGGAACGAGTGGCGCGTCTGCGCAAACTTCCCATCGCGCACTACAGTTCAACACAAAGGGCAACGCTACTGGATTCAAAATTAAGAAGTCCAATATGGGATGAGGTTCATATTCGAATACATTCTACGAACCATCTACCCATTAATGAGTGACAAGTAACATCCTCGTTCGAAGTTCGAACTTAGTATTGAGCTGAGTTCCGAAACACGGCTAGCAAATTGGTTGATGTTGGATCATTCCAAGTTGCCTCGGTAGTTCCAGCGGGAGACTGGCCAAAATACCACTCCATTCCCATCGACAGCACGCCCTCTGCTCTCCCTCTAGCACTTGGCTCCGCCCTCGGTGCCACCGTGGCACGAGCTGCGGCCACAGTCTTGGATCTCAGTCCACTTTCCATTCTTGCACTCGACCTTGCCACAAAAATATTCATTAGCAAACATGACGTGATAACTCAAGGTGATATGTTAACATACAATACCGGTTCTGTCACAGCCGCAGAAGTGTCGGTCTCCGTTGGATGATGCACAAGGGCTGTTTGTGCGTCTTTGAGCGGGATCATAGCCGGCTCCGCAGGTGTCTCGCTTGTCCAAGGCTGAAGCACTGACGGCAGTGGCGGCCATGAGGGTGAAGAGGATTGCAGTGACCTTCATTGTGAAAGAGGTGTTATGTATTGAAACGGGATTGTTTGTTTGAGATTGTTGATTGGCTAGAATTGCTTGATGTCTAAGATCACGTCTTTCTGGCAGGATATGTCGATATATTTATACTTCTTCAGACCAAATGCCAAATCGTCTCGGCTATCTCCTTGTCACGAATACATCCCATATTGTTGGAGTTGGGCGCCTTGTTTGCCAAAGTTATTCCTCAAAGCCAGAAACCGGCCCTCAATTCGATGTTGCATTGCAGCCATTTGATCAGAC